ACAGATGATACGGGCATAGAATATTTTATTGGCAGCAAAATGATGCTACTATCAACAAATTTGGTGGAGATTTCGAACGGGGAACCTAGTAAACCCAGAACGCAAATTTTATACACGTTTCCGGTACCGAGCTACAACTGTCTCGTTCATGGCTGCGGGGTGAGGGCAGGAAGGGGGTGGCGATACAGATTGACCCTCTGGCCCTCATTTAGCAAGTATACAAGGTCTCAATAATACCGGGTCTTTTATTTTTTACTTTGTTTTATATGTTTTAAATTCAATAATTCATGTCTACGTAGATATTTTCTACTTCTTGAACACTAGTCAAACTTTTATGTGTAGTTTATTTTTGTACAATTTATATATGTAAATTAACATAGGCACCAAACCACCAGAAGATAGGCTAAATAATGGATCTTAAAATAACTCGTAGTAAGTAGCTTTACTTCAGTTACGTAATTATTTATTTGGACTTGAATGAAGGTAGGTACGTACATATTATGTAAGTACTACAACGACCAATACAATACAACATATTTGCAATAAAAATCACAATTTAGCGGTAGAAGTTTTAATTGCACCATAGTAAAGAGCAATATAAATCAGAAATTTTACTGCATGGATAAAGAAAATAAACCAATGATTACCACAGAGGCGGTGTTATTGCTAAATGTAGTTATTACTAGTTATTTTTACTAGGTATAGTTAATTTACAAGGTACTGCTTACCCTAAGTTGCGCTTTGCAATAAAGGAGATATTGGTATGACATAAGATGCGATTTGATTAATATCAGCTATTTCGACCGGTTATGGTATGACAAAATAGCTCACATGGTCAGATGTGAGACTTTGAAATAAAGAGAGTGGAGTTCATTCCTGCTATATGCCAATACATATTTTGTTTTTTTTCAAAGTTTTGTATATTTTTTTTGCATCTTTTATAATATAATCCTTATAAAATGTGTCATGCATGATCATGAATGCACAAATTGTTTTATCATTATTTGTAACAAAATAGGCAGAGTAAGGGAGGAGTTTCAGATTTGTTTCAACAAGGAGTTTGGCCTTATCACACTAGCAGTTTGAGAGCGGATGCGTAGCGGAGCAGGTGCGCAGCAAATTCTTTGTGAATGCGTGGCAGATGTGCAGCGAATTCGCACTACCGACGCGCGACGTAGCTGTGTAGGCGCGGCGGATGCGCAGTGAATTTCTCGCGGACGTGCGGCGGCGGATACCGTCGTTATTTGTATCAAAACAATGCAAATCCATTCGCTACGCATTCGCCGCACGTATGCTACGAATTTGGTGCGCAATCGCTCCGCTCAGCATCCGCTCCGAAAACGCTAGTGTTATAGGCTCTTATGTCTTGGAAAGTGTCTTGGGTGGGTGGGTATTTTGTTTTGTTTCTTCGATCAAAACATGACGGGAAATGTCAGATAGAAAAAACTATTTGATCCATTTTTGATTTTTTCACAAGTTGGCAAAAGTATGGATAGGACTTTTTATTTGGGAAACCTATAAAAAAACAGACATTTATGGTGTAAAAAAATTAACAGGATATATTTGATGGGATTTTAATGCACTCACAGTGCTATATTATTCTCACAAGTGAAAATAAGAAATAGAAAAAATGTCATACATCGACCGGGAATCGAACCCGGGCCGCATGGGTAAACGCCCCACCGCTCTGCCACTGAGCTATCGTCGTCGGATCGTCGCTTCAAGACGAGCATCAAGAGATAGAAAAATTTGTCATTCATCGACGGTGCATCGATAGCTCAGTGGCAGAGCGGTGGGGCGTTTACCCATGCGGCCCGGGTTCGATTCCCTGTCGATGTATGACATTTTTTCTATTTCTTATTTTCACTTGTATATTTGATGGGTTGAGTTCGGTTCATAAAACTGAGCAACTTTCCCCAAGAGACTCAGACCAAGAAAAGTAAAATGAAATACTTTGGACCTCTCATGCTTACAATGGCATGTAATTAAATTAGTCGTAAGTATATGTATGCGTTCACCTTTTTTTCAGGGTTATGTTTTTCGAGAGAATGTATGTATGTTTGTATGTATGTATGTGGACAAGAAAATTCTTTTTTACGGGCTACATACAGCCCAATCGGATTGTTGGATTTTGACATACTTATGAGTTGTCGTTAGATTCGTCTTAGCAACGCGAGTGACACTGGCTATATTAAAAAAATATAGATTTAAGATGGCGGATTTTATACAGCAAAATACTACCTTAAAATTACTCCAGTCGGGTTTTTGTTGTTTAACACACCTACATTAGACATTCATAACAAAATAAACATATGTCTCAGATAATGTGATCCGTACAAAACGTAAAGTTGCAAAGCGTCTTGATTTTTCTGATCGCAAGTGTAGTTTTCGTTTAGTTTTGATTTGCTGGCAACATTGTCTGTCTGTCTGGACGCGTTTGAGTGGATTCATATTTATTTATACGCCTATGTTTCTTAGGGAAAGTTGTTTATTTTCGTGGACTGATTCACCCCTTAAAATATTTGTAGTTAATTTTTAGACACCTTATTTACATTCGGAAAAAAATGCGGTAATTATAATCCAAAAATAAAGTCTTATCCATACTTTTCCAATAGCTGCACTAAGTCTATTAGATTTTTAGGGTGCCGTAATCAAAGGGTGGAAACGGATCCCTGTTACTGATCCGTCTGTCAGCAGGCACTATCTAATAAATGGTTATAGGTAGAGAGTCGCAAACACAGACGATGAATTTCTGTTACCGCTATATATGTCGCAGTACGATGGCAGAATCAGGTTTTTGGCCAAAAACCTAGGTTTTTGGCCAAAAGCCGGCATATGGCAAAATCGTAGACTTCGTTCGGCCATCATCCTAAGATGATCCAGGTTTTTGGCCAAAAACCTAGGATTTTGTTTAGTATTATGGCTTTTTTGCAATTCGGGGGAACTTCTTCTTCGAGTGGTACACCAAGTCGCCCAACGATCCAATGAACCCTGGTGTTAGAGTTTTTAAACCGCCTACTGCAAGGAGCAGGCCTCTGACAAGGTTGTGTATCGACCGCCGTCTTAGTGATCATAAAGAGCAATCGGGACCGACGGCTTAACGTGCCCGTGTAATTCGGGTATATACCTCGAAATGCAGGAGGTAGCATTGGACGTTCTGTAGGGTGGGAGGTAGCGTCAGACGCGCTGGAGGGCGTGGGTAGCGTCGGACTCTCTGGAGGATGTAAGGTGCCGGGCGTTGGATTTAATGGGGGTCCGACGCTACCTCCTGGTCTCCAGGACGTCCCACGCTACCACCAATCCTCTAGACACTCTAGAGCGTTCAGTGGTACGTCCTGCTCTTATGGTGTCTGATGCTCCCCCCTGCCCTTCAGGGAATCCGTGGCAATCCTGCTGTTCAGACTGTCTGATGTTACCCCCCATCCTTCAGGGTGTCCATTTACGGTGTCCAAGTCTACCCTCTAAAGATCAGAGGGAGGTGCATAAAGTACCTCTTCACTCCTCGTTCCCCCGAACCACACGGGCACGGTGAGCCGTCGGTCCCGATTGCTCTCTATGGTCACTTAGACGGCGGTCGTTACACAACCATGTTAGAGGCCTGCTACTTGCAGTAGGCGGTTGAAAACTCTGATACCAGGGTCCATCGGCTCGTTGGGCGACTTGGTGTACCACTCGAAGACAAAGAAGTTCCCCCGAAATGCAAAAAAAGCCATAATACTAAACAAATCTAGGATTTCGGCCAAAATCCTAGTTTTTTCGCCAAAATCCTAGGTTTTTGGCCAAAAACCTGGATCATCTTAGGACGATGGCCGAAGGAAGTCTACGATTCTGCCATATGCCGGCTTTTGGCCAAAAACCTAGGTTTTTGGCCAAAAACCTGATTCTGCCATCGTACTGCGACATATATAACAACAAATACTGAACATTTGATACAGATAAAAATACAGCCAGCCATACAAAAAACGTCATTTTTATGCTCGATTTTATCTATGATGGTTCAAATGCTGTATCTCATGAACAGGAACAGTTAGATTAGACAGTTGAAATTCTCACAATCATGTATTACTAATATTACTATTGCCCTATGACAACAAAAACTAAAAAATAGAGGAGCTCCCATACAACAAATGTGATATAAATGCTATTTTTAAACACAATGGTACGGGACCCTTCGTTTACGAGTCCGACTCGCTCTTGTCCGATTTTTGAGAATCCGAAACGTCATCCATCAGAGTGATTTGTTTAGATAATAATTGTACCCATTAGGATTTCTAATATTGCAAATATAATCAAGGAATATCTTACACTCTGCCTACCCTGCAAGGGATGTAGGCGCGATGTGTGTAAAAAAAAGGCAATGAAAAAAACAGTTTTTTGTATAAAACGACCCGTCGTCGTCGTGACTCGAAACCTGTACTCTCATTAACCGTTGATCCAAGGGGGAGCGGCTTACATTTTACGCCACGCAGTTACTTGCACTTAGTGGTCAATTTTGTGAATGGTTGCAAAACGTAAATGTCATTGATCATATACAATGAGGGCAAGGGGGTAGCGGGAGGGTCCACAGCGGGGCGGGAGGGATGCATAAATGAAATAGAAATATTTTTATCAACTGACAGTTCGCGAACTTTCAGGTTGCTATTGTAAAGTCTTAATACCCTTGGCCAAATCCGATGTTTAAATAACGCAAAGCAGAATAATTTGTTTATGCAGCGCAGCGCAGAAACTAGCGTTGAGTTATTGTAGGTATGGGGAATTTACAAAATTATGTGCATCTGACAGGCGTATGCGTTAGCGTTGCGCTAAAAGTGCGCAGTAATAGACGTTACGTGTGGGCATCGCCTAACCGCTTTGAGCTTTTTACAACCTTAGGCATTTAAAAATGGAAGCACTGAAATACGTACAAACCTTTTGGCTTTCTGTTTGTGGCAATGTTGCGGTTTTTTGCATGAGTATGCTTATTGTCGTGTGGTTCTGGGTAAAAAAAGCATCATACATTTTTACACAGCCGATGGGTAATGCAACTGCCTGCGACGCAGAAGGTTCCGGGTTCGATTCTCGGTAGGTAACTAACAAAGTTGATATTTTACTTAGTGGATTTGTTCAGTCTTTTTATGATTATGTATGACATTGCAGGTTGCACCACCTGATTTTCGGAAAAGTTGCCGAAAAGGAAGAATTGCTGTTCATGATCATTTAGACGGTAGTCGTTACACAACCATGTCACAGGCCTGCTAAGTACTTGTAGTATGTGATTGAAAAACTCTGACACAATGGTTTATCGGGTCGTTGGACGACTCGGTGTCGCATTCGAAGAATAAGAAGAAATAACATTTCTTTTCAGCGTCGTAATAGGTGGGTGGTTTAAGAACTTCTGATCTGTGGAGTTTATATACCCGGCTGCCTCAAAAGCAGTTTTTCGAGCCAAAATACTCGTAGTTTTCACGACAAGTACCTCTATATCAACGGTGCCAGTCAGTGTCTGTGTAGGAATGTTGTTCTCATGATAACATCTTACTAGTCTACACGAAAGCATGAAACTACTTACTGCAAAGTACAAATGGTAAAGTGTTACAACTTGCAAAATGAAAACGTGGATTGATGTCAACTATTTTAAAAAGGAAAGTTGCCTTCTTTGGCCATGTATAGAGAGAAACCCAGTATAAGTTTTTAAGACTAATACAAGAAGGCAAGATCCCGGGCAAAAAAAAGCACAAGGCCGACCCAAGAGGAAGTGAATAGATGACGTGACTGCAAAGTCAGTCAGTGTGAAATTTTACTAGTGACTGATAGCGAAAACTCAGAACCGGCTGGTGATAAAGACTAACTTTCTCCAGGGAAAATAGGTCTTCTTCTTATCCTTCCTCTTCCTAGCGTTGGTCCCGCCTTGCGACGGGATCCGCTTATATAAAATAGGCCGAAAAATAAAAATAAAATTAACTTTCCATCATAGACATAGAAACGCTTTCCATTCTAGCTGAAATCAGCTGAACGACAAATTTTCCTCGGGGAAAGTTGTTCCTTATCACCAGCCGATTCTGAGTTTTTGCTAATAACGCAATGAAATACAAGTGTTTCATTGCAATTTCATGATTTATTTACCCGACTACCTTAGAAGAAGTCTTTTTAACTTCTTAGTGGACTTTTATCAAAAAAGTTCAAAAAACTTTTCCATCTCAATCAAAAGCATAATTTAACCAACTTTTCCAAAGTGCTTACACTAAAATCTCCTCCCGAGCCCTATAATCGAATAAAAGGCCAATAAGGGCCCGCTAAAACCAGTTGGGGTCCAAACGACCCACAGGCTGGGTACAGGCTAGGGATGTGAAAAAACCCAAGGAAAAAACAAATAATCGATTATTTTAGGTTTGCCAAAAAATAGGTCCAAAATAAATAGATTTAACTTTAAAAAATCAACTTCTGAAATAATCGATTTTTCTGTATATTATACTCGTTTTATGTAATATTTGCGTTTTTTTATATTGTTTTTCGATACAGATTAAAATAAGAATACGCTTTATAGCACAGAAAATAAATTAAATACTCAATATCAAAGATCGTTGAACGACTCGGTGTCCCACACGAAGAGAAAGAGAGAGAGAGAGAGAATATCAAAGAAATGTACAGCCTTACTGCTCAGGTAAAATTAAGAACGTTACCGACGCGACAAAATATTACAAGGGCCCTAATATAAGGTGTAGGTGTATTTTAAATAATATTACGTAAGACCCAAAATAATTCGTTGGTGCAAATATTTGCATAAGAAATCGATTTTAAATTAATCGATAATAAAAATTACAAATTGAATCGGTCGACCGTACGAAACGATTATTTTAGAAAAGCATCGGTTAGTAATCGATTATATCGTCACATCTCTAATACAGTCTGGGTACAGGCTGAATAAAGCAATCGGCCTCTTTTACTGGCAGTAAACAGGATTCAAAGGGAAGACTTTGATGAGCAAAAGAATTTGCTGAGGTGAACGTAGTTTTATTAGTTTAAGAAAATTACCTGGGTAACCAAGATTCGTTGGTTTTCCAGCAGATGGCGTTGTTAGTTTATAAAAACTCCCGAAAAAGGGGTAAAGCAACGATTTTTGGATAATCAAACCTTAGATCGATTTATCGCCACTGTAAAACCCCAGATACAAAATTTCATGAAAATCGTTGAAGCCATTTCCGAGATTCTTGCTCGTATTTAGATTTAGATCTTGGGGTCTGAAACAGAAGAAGATGTCTTTATTTTTATTATAATAAGAACGCTCTAAAACATTTCTTTTGCATCTCCATAGGTAAATATATCACGCATATATCCCTTGCGGGGTAAGCAGAGCGTAAACGGCTGTTAAAATCGGCAATTTATACCACGTCTGGCCAAAGTGTTATTGTGTATCACCATAGTGACAGGTTAAAAAAATTGGAATACACATCAACTCTCAAATCCCTCTTAGTCGCTTTTAATGAAACTCTCTGGAAGAATATGGGGTGATGCTATTCTAAGCCGGCATCACACTGCCTGCGCCAGAAAGTAACTACAAAACTTTTATCTTTTGTCTAAAAATGAAATTTACTACTGTACATAACTAAAAGGTATTCTAAAAGTATTTCCCCCAATCCAAAACAACTTTGCGTCAAAATTCCCGAACAATCGATGAAATATTGTCCCCGACATCATCAATCACGGGAAATATTTGGTTGACAACCTCTTTGCGGCGGTCGGTTGAACAATGGCGAAAGTTGATCAATGCTGAAATAAAAGGGGTACCAAATTATACTGGTTTTTGATACAGTAGCAAAGCATAACCAGTGAAAGTAGGTCCCTTAAATGGGTAGGTTAGGTAGGTTGTGGTATAATTAATAGAGGTTTTTGTTTTAGACTTTATAGACTGGTCGGTTCAGTAGACTTGCTAAGCAGTCAATGACCTTACCATACCAATTCTTCTTTTCGTGTGGGACACCGAGTCGTTCTACGACCCGATGCACCCTGGTGTCAGAGTTTTTCAACCGCCTACTGCAAGTAGCAGGCCTCTGACATGGTTGTGTAACGACCGCCATCATAGACAGCAACCGGGACCGACGGCTTAACGTGCCCATCCGAAGCACGGAACCATCTTACTTGCGGACAATCAGGTGGTTCAGCCTGCAATGTCCTAACCAGACTGGGAACAAATTCTCAAAGTGATAAATATCAACTTTGTGAGTGACCCCACTGGGAATTGAACCCGGAACCTTTGCGTGGCAGGCAGGCATACTAACCACTGCGCCACATCGGTTGTCCAATAAAATACATACCAATAAAATACATACTTCATTCATATTTAATAAAAATGAATGGTTTGAAACTAAGCGGTAAGTAAGTACCATACCAGCCACAATAGTCCGCTGCTGGACATGGGCCTCCCCTTAACGGGGGGGTATTGCCATACTCACCACCACGCTTGGCAGGCGGATTGGCGAGCGCAGTAAAAGATGTTGCATTTACAGGGAACGTTGCTGCCCATTCCTTGGATGATTAAGTATCCCTTAGTCGCTTTTACGACATCCACGGGTAGAATTGGGGTGATGCTGTAGCAGAGTGCAAACTCTGCATGGACATCCTCCCTAAGCCACCCTCACATCTCCCTTTTTCGAATCATTTTATAACTTAAATTTGGAACACGGCACCGAAACGTCACCGTTCTTGGCTTTTTTGACGCACTCCTCTCTAACTGACGGTGAAGTCAACACCTATCCTTGTTAATTTGTACTCTCGCATATTTTTGCAACTGTATTTAATCAAGTGAAGTTCCCGAAACAGTTCAAAAAGTGAAAGTGAACATTTTGTCTATCTTATATATTTTGTGATACATTAATGGACCCACCCAAGGTAAGCCTCAAATCATTCCCGACAACCATCTGCTCACCTCCATACCCAACATCACAGTGTGTTAATGTTTGTTACGTCTGCAGGGTCCATATCTTTGAATAAAGATCATCCATTGAAGTTAATCCTATTATTTATGGCCCTCGCGGCTATAATGCTATTCTAATCCGGCATCACAAGAGACTGAGTGGTAACATCCATAGAATAAGCGTGTGACGTGACGCGCAGCATGACATCTATCAGACAAGCGATCATCAGCCGTTATCGATGCGATGCACGTCTCACGGGTAAAACTTTGTTTCTTCTGTTTCATACATTTTATATGGAAACGGTTTAAAGCGTCCCGATGTCGCACGTCTCACGTCTCCGACGATCACTTGTTTGACAGATGCTATCCTACGTCATAATCAACAAATGACCTAGTGAATCCTTGTTAAGATTTTGAAACAAGGAATATACTTTTTGAAACCAATCATTAGGTACTACCGGCAGGCCACTGGCCGCTGGTTGGTTACAAACGGAACGGGACGTAAGATGAGTTGCTCGAAGGTTACAAAAATCAGAATACACTTCCAATATTTCAAGTCTATTTAATTTTAAATAGTGTATTCGTATCATACAAATGCTGGCTGGTTTTGATCTAAGAAATGGTCAAGGATGCCATTTACTCAAAAAGAAAAATAACGCGTCTTTTTTTTATGATAATGGCTAACAGTGCCAGTTCATTGTAAAATGTGGAATACACTCCTAGAAATTATTTTTGAAATATTACAGTACAACGACAGTAATTTTTAATCGAATAAAGAAAAGAAGTGATTTTCAATTTGTCGCAATCTTATTATTATTTTTTACTGCCTTACTTATCTGTTTGTCATTCGGAAATCTATTTGTGTTTTCGTATTATGAAAAGCGAATCCATTTAGAATTTACCAGAGAGCAAGTTTTACAAAACAAATCCTATTCTTTAGCTGCTTATCTTGTCGTATAAAAGCTCTGAAACTCCAATCCAGAGCAAATGTACTTACCTACGTTGTTTTACACAATAACAACATTTCCTAATAGAATTCGTAGCGAATTCACTGCCACTGTCTATGAAAATACTTATATTTTTACACGACTGCCTCATGTATTTCGTTTTTCATTTCCTGGGTTATGTTTTTCGAGAGTAGGTATGTATGTTTGTACGTTTGTATGTATGTATGTGGACA